TATATATAATGCAGAAACCAAAATCTGGTTTACAAAAGATTCAACTGATGTCTAGTTAAATTTGATTTACATTCCCATATGCAATAATAAAATTTCTAGATCTCCGTGTTAATATGTTAAGCCAAAGCCGGAATACGATTATTTTGCGAATTGGTTCGGATCTTCGTATTTTAAATGATCTGATCAGTTAAACGCACACATACACACATTTCAATTAGGAAAATGATAATTTCGCGTTCTCTACTACTCAGCCATGAATAGAACTATGAAACTTGTTGAATATTGAATATGAAACATAGACTTGTTGAATATTGACCAATTTGGTCAGCCAAATCTTGGATTGGTTTAGACTTCCGGCTTTGGCCACACATATAATAAAACAAAGTTTCCTAAAATTTTCTCTGCGAAACTAATGTTATGAAAATACAAATATTAATTAGAAATATTTGCTCCTCTATTTTACATTCGTTACAGGAACGAGTATTGTATAAAATATTTATTCTGACTGTGCCATGAAGAAGGATTATTAAGGAAATACTTATATGTGTGTATATATGTATATGTATGTATGTATGTATGTATATGTATATATACACACACACACACACACACACACACATATATATATATATATATACATATATGTATGCATACATATATCCCAATTGTAAAATTTATTTTATTATATAGATATAAACGTGGAAACACATACTTCTGTAGTTCCCTAGGAAACAAACAACTGATACAAATTAGTTAATTCCAAAATATATCTAAGTAATCTATGTAAGTTTATAGAAATATATATGTACATATATATTATATACGCGTTTCCAGCATGTTTTAATATAGTATAATAATATTTTTGACAAAATAGAGTACAAATGCGTAAGTGTTCCTTATCAACAATATTATAAATAGGATACCACATTGGCTGCGTTCGAGAAGCGCGCGCTATTAGCGCTATTATGTAATTCTGTCTTTAATTTTCCTTCGATGAGTCATCAAGATAAAAGAACGCAATAGCGCTGAAAACGCGCTCCCGGAACGCAGTCAACGTATCGTGTGTATCCCCATCCGACATAAAATATATACTTTACACAAATTCCGTAGTATGTTTTTTTTATTTTAACGAGGACACATAATGTGTCTACCTCCATCCACGGGTAATGTTGCACCTGTAATGTAGCTGGCGTCGTCGCTCGCTAAAAAGGCAATTGTCTTCGCGACCTCCATAGGGTCACCCGTTCTTCCAAGAGCATGTGTCTCTTTGCTATGTTCGAAAAATTCCTTCAGGTGACTCTCGCTCATCCCAGCTCTACGATGGATATTCGTCACTATGACACCAGGATTTACAGCATTCACGCGAACCTTTAATAAATAACACGAAGCATTGGAGTGATATTCGAAAGCAATACTAAAAGTCGCGAATGAAAGGAACGTAATTCTACTTGTTTATCTGCCAGTTCCAGAGCGACACAACGTGTTAATTGATCCACAGCCGATTTGCTCATGCTGTACGCCAGGATATTCTTGAAAGACCTCAGTCCGGCTACGCTAGAGACGTTGACAATGTTGCCCTTGGTCGCAATCAAATGAGGCGTCGCAAGCATCGTTAATTGATACACAGAACGAAGGTTTAAGTTAAAAACTCTGAAAAGATTACTTGTAAATTGATGTACCATTATCCAATGATTATTGTAACTATATGAGGCAAAGGATATATATTTCATCTACTTTTGCTTTGCAAGTAATAATGCATGCTAACTAAAAGCAGAGTGAGTATAAGCAATTCAAGCAATTCAATGAATTGTAAATATATATATTAGACTATCATGCATACCTGTCATATTGTTCCAAACTCGTAGATTTTATATCACCTGTTTCCAAAGTTCCAGCATTATTAACTAAAACATCCAGTTTACCATAGTGTTTGATGGTTTGGTCAATGATATTTTTTACATCGTTTTCATTAGTAAGTTCTCCCGTCACGACAAATATCTTGGACTGTTCACACTGCTCGGCTACTTTGCTCAAGTTATCCTTATTGCGCCCAGTTATTGATAATGATGCACCAAGTTTCGCAAAATAAATAGCAGTCGCAGCTCCGATACCTGAACTGGCACCTGTTATTAAAACTACCTTTTCTACAAAAGACATCTAGAACAAAAAATATATATCAAGAGCATTGTAAAAAAATTATGGGGATCATAATTTCAATTTAATCAGTGAAAAATATATCAATATGTACTGTTGAGAAAGTTCTTAAAAGTAAGTGTTTCTACTGGTAAATTTAAGAATTATATATTAAAATTTATAATCTTGAAGATTTTCATAATGTCAATGTTGTTAATTATAAAATAGTTGTGATTTTTTATATTTATTATATCAAGGAACAAATGTGTAATTTAATATTTTTTTCACTTCATATTACATAATTTGCTATTTAATTATTCAGTTATGATACATTATGACACCTTATGATATATTAGAGTTGTTCTAATATTTATTAATACACAGTATGATTGTTAATATATATATGATACAGGATTTGATATAATAATATAAACGTTAGTTGTGAATATCAGCGAAACATATCAGTTGTGATATTTCACTGATATTCGTTCCTAACTCTCATACTCTAAATTATTACAACACCAAACGTAATATCAATTTGGTTATTAATTTTCATAACTGGTTATATGTGTAAAAACATTTCGCATCTAAATTCACTATTAAATTTAATGTGAATGTTTTTAACAATATACGATACTTACTATGTAACAGCGCGACACAACCTTCTAAAAGGAAGAAATTAGTAACTGGTAGGCAAGAAATACGAGATCAGTAAATCATGATTCGTCAATTTGTAGAGAAAAACCGGTTTTATTTTTCTAAGTATAACCAGTGCGAACCAGCGCTATAAGGCGATATGATTGACGGATCATTCAGTTAAAAGGAACAAACCAAGTTTGATGCAGAGAAGGGAAACCGGTGTTTGATCCCCACTCCACCGATTCATTGCAACAGCGAAAGCACGTTCAAAGTTCGAATGTCTCAGCATTGCCAACTAACGGCGAAGCAACGCAGGAAATAGGAACACGAAATGTTGCTTAAACATTTTTCACAAATTATTAAATTATTGATCATATTTCAAATATGACTGAAAGAAATGACATATAAGTTTGCATTAAATGCCAACGATATGATGGCACCGAGCCATACACGCACAGAAGCATCGCGTGGCCATGCGCACAGCTTCAGCCGTCTCTGATTGATTCGATGCGAGTCGAGTTTGAGGCATCACTAGCGAGCACGTGTCCCAAAGTTAAAATCGGAAGTTATTGCACTTGTCTGATGTAACAATTTCAAAGATAAAACAAATACATTTTTTAACGCGTGTTTCAGCTGTGATACATTATGGATGCAAATAAAGGCGAGATAGATGAAACTATAGAAATTATACTTTTAATTAATTTCTCCATAAATGAAGGTATATATGCATGTACATATATATGCATTACGTGTACAAGAAAATTATGAAAAAGAATTATGTAAAAGAAATTATTTATTAGTGGTTATAAGAGTTTCTTCACTGATTTTTATTAAATTTTACATTTACATTATACATTTTAATATGTAGAATGTATATAATAATGAAAGTTGTCACTGTGTGTTGGAAACAAAGTAGTCAATTTTTAAGGTTGGAAAACATAACTCATAATTTAGAATAATAATGTTTTAATTATATTGTATTATAAGCATTAAAATATATAATAAAGTTAAAAATTAGTGAAGGGATTTATTTACTTTGTACTTATTGTCTTCTTTTAATCAATTATATGTTACCTTTATAAATTATTTATATTATATTTCAGTTCCCAATTTGCCATGTGATGTACGCAACATATTGAATGGCAACTATGAAGATGTAATAAATAATACAATCTCTGCATTTATAATCAAAGAAAGAAATAATCATGATAATTTAGAAGAAATTATACATAAAGTTATGAGTGAAACTAATGCACATCATTTATGGTTATACGCTGGAATAGCGTCTTTATTATACTTTACACAATGCAATTGGACAGGTCCATATGTCGACGAGGATATTGACTGGTTGAAAGCTGAAAGGCACAAAGCGTTCGAGAAATTATCATTATACGACGAGTGTAATATAAATGTGCAAAAACCAGAGTTGCTCTATTTGTCTAAAATGATTTTCTCTAATATAGACTTGCAACTCAAGTACAAAAGCTGCATTTGGTGGTTACTTAGAGCCAACTTGTTGCATCAGCACATATTAGATGAGAATTTAGGGACAATATTTGAAGAAACTGAAAATCTAATATTGAGAATCGATTCTCTTAGTCTGTTAGAAGATTCTCTTTGTAAGCTTTTGTTCAATCTGGAAGCTGCTAGGTTTTACTTGTGCTTCCGAAGAATACAGGATTCTGAAAAATATCTTGATCAAGCACAGAACATAGCAAACTTAACATTGACTCTACAAGGGGCAATGGGAAAACGTACAAAATATCAGTTGGAGGAAAAGTCACAGCTATACTTGAAAGTGGTAGTAAACAAAAATATTTTCCCAACGATAGATTGTGAAGACACACCAATATCTGCGACTCTAGATGACGCGTCGAGGTTGGAATATATTGAGTTTTCAGAGCATATAGAGGAAACCCAGTTGGGTGCGGTGGAAGAAGCTGTAATTTTAACAAAATAGTAAGTACAATCTGTATCTTTGTACACATAGTTGTTTACAAGATTTAAAGAATATTAATATAGTTATTAGCACTCAGTTACAGATATGTCAGCCTAAGCACAAACTCACTCGAGAGGAAATCAGTCCCTACATGACTGTAAGTTATGATAATCCTCTCTTTCTTTCATTATTAATTACATTCTCGATATAATATTTACCAAAAAAAAAAAATATTCTTCCAGAAAGTTATAGAGAACACAAAGAATTGGTCGTTAAAAATGGCTTCTCTGTACTATCGTTGCTTACTAGAGCGTGATCACTTTAGGACTGCAGAGCGATGTCTGAAGCAAGGATTCTCTCTGGAGAAAGAGTACAATAATGGAAAAGCACCTGTAGCCAGAAGAATCGATCTATTTTTCGTGAGTGGTATGAAACCTATTTGGACGTTGAGAGAGGAAGTGGCTTGCCAAATGTTTCATTTCGATATGGTGAAGGCTGCTTTGGAAGTCTATACGAAACTCGGTTTATGGGAAAAAGTGATTACCTGTTACCGCAGATTAGATCTAAATCATAAAGTACGTATTTCTTATACCGCAAGTGTAATATAATACAAAGTACATTAGTAAAGAGTTGTAAGTTGAACATTTGCAGGCAGCTGAGATCATTCAACAAGAGTTATCCAAGAAACCTACAGTGAAGTTATGGTGCATGTTAGGAGACGTAACTGGCGATGTGAGTCATTACAAGACAGCATGGAGATTGTCCGGAGAAAGTAGCAGTAGAGCACAAAGGCAATGGGGATATCATTATTTCACGAGGAAACATGTCAGTGAGGAAATCTTGAATTTTCATCTTAATCCTTTAACGTGAACTTTCAACGTGATGCATGGTACTTTTTAGTATGTTGAGGCTATACCACACTTGAAATTATCGGTCGAGTTGAATAACATTCAAGAAGACGCGTGGTTCAGACTGGGCTACGCTGCATTACTGATAGAAAATTGGAATTTAGCTGCCACAGCATATAGACGCTACTGTGCTCTAGAACCATCTGTACGTGGATTGATATCTTTGTTAATTTAATGTAATATGTTTGAAATATAAAAAAAAATGTGCAATTCAAATTCTAGAATTTCGAGGCATGGAACAATTTAGCAAAAGCGTACATAAAAACGGGAGATCTAGCGAGGGCACGAAAATCTCTGGAGGACGCTGTGAAATGTGATTACGATCGTTGGGAAGTATGGGATAATTTCATGGTCGTCAACACCGATTTAGGACATTTTTCAGAAGTAGGCGATATATAAATATATATATATTTGATAATTTAATTTTCTACAAAACCTTCTCACGCTATCTAAGTATTATCTTTAATAGTAGTATCGCATCCGGCATTAATAATTACATAAACGTAGAGTAACGCTTTTATATGTATCAATTATAAATATCTTTAAATTATTTAATTCTGTTCCAGGTCATTCGATGTTACCATCGCATCCTGGACTTGAAAGGTGCCCACCTGGATGTCCAAGTTCTCCGAATATTAACAGATGCCATAGTCAACGATATCAGTGACGCAAATGGAAATCCGGCATCTCGTTTGCTTCCGAAGAGTTTAGAATTATTTGGAAGACTCAGTGTTAAGATGGATAACGCGCACATTTGGAGAATGTATGCCCAACTCGCTGTATTGAAGAAGACAGATGTCGATGATGAGAAAGCAGCGCATTACTTGCAGAAAGCGTACCGCGTTGCCACTTGTGATCCGCACTGGTCCGATAATGAAGATCAAACTTTGTATGTGTTAGAATTATGCTGTGACTTAGCACAGGCGTATCTACGTTGCGCCGACCCTGACGCGGTCAATAAGAAGAGAAAGATGCTGGGAAGCGCGAAATTATCGCTTCAGAAAGTCGCGAAGGAGGTCAAGAAGCGGGAATGGACTCATTCGAGTATCCTCGAGCCGTTGGCCAAAGTTGAAGAGTACTTAACGGTTGTAACGAATGATTTGGATGAAATAAAACTAATATAGAGTCGAAGAAGCAGGTACATCCTTTTCGTACACACAGAATTCTTCATTGAATTTAGCAAATGGGAAAATTTGCAAGTTCGAATTTGTCCGCCCACTTACTTATTCGCATGCAGGATTTCAACAATCATTGTGAGCACTCACATACCCACTCGTGTGTGTATTGGACGATACGCGTATAAAAATTTCCAGTCGCTCGCTCACGAGATCATTTTACACATTGTATTCGGATTACAATTCATCGACAACGTAACGAAGGGAACAAAACTCCCTACATTTTCACGGAAAGATTCTTCAACTTTGTAAAAAGTTGTTATACCACTAATAATTACGTTTAGCTAGTAACTTAATACTGAAAACATGCAGCCGCGATATGCATAGTACATTCTAATTAACGATACACCGCTATAATCGTTCGAACGAAGTCGTTCGTCCGCAAATAAACTATATAAACAAGAGAAACAAGAAAATCGAGATGCAGATTCGCGTGATCGATCGACATGCGCTTCAAAAATGGTGGAGTAACTTTCGTTTCGTACACGAACATCTACCGTGATGTTTTTCACATTCAACCGAATCCACCAATTTACAATTGAACCCGTTTACGTAAACAATGATAGGATAAAGGCGAGAGGACCAAGTTGTCGCTCGCACACTCTCTGGGAGCTGGGTGAAACTTTCAGAAGTAACTGTCGCTCTCGTTGTTCTCGACGGATTCTTTCTTGGCGGCTATCAGATTCTCCCATTGTGCGATGAGCGTGCTGCGACGTCGTGGGTTGGGCTGTAAACACACAATAAATATGTGCATGTATATAATACATCTTATAATAAATTACGACGAGACATCTTCATCGCAGCTATCAATTTCAGGTGTCGACAGAGAGGCATCGCTGAGGAATCGCGTCTGCTTTGAATCGTCACGTGATTGTTCGGCCATTGTATTCTTCGTATTCACGACGCGCCTTACCTTGTGTTTCCCTTTGTGCTCTCTCTCAACCTCGTCCTCGTTCAAGGTGTTGGTGGAAGCACCGCTTCTGAGCGAACTGGAGCCGTCGTAAATGTCGGAATCGTTATCGTTTCCTATATCGAGCAAATTCGGCTGAGACTTTGCCAACATCTGCGATCTCATCAGTCTGAAAGAACAACAATCGAGGTTTTCTCCTGAATCCTACGTACGAGTTTCACTCGACGTATGAGAGATTTCCCGGTTACGCAAGCATTATATATTTATTATGTGTTTTGTTACATTACTTCTTGTGCATATTGTTGTTATTACAGGCGTGCACAACAACCTTTTGTCTCTTGGCGCATAATCTTAAAAAACCTTTCGTCGTTGCAAACAGAGGCAAATATTGTAAAAAGAGTAAATTGCTCAAGTTCATGATAGAACTGAAAACCTATAAATGTCTGCGAAAAGTGAGCTTGTGGTCTTGAAATCAAGGAAATAAGAAATCAGGGCGATATTTGCTTGCGCAAATTCTTTACGAGGAAAAAAAGGATGTCCCTTGCTCTAGAGACGCGCATGTTCTCGTACCTTAGCTCGTTCTCGCGTTCTCTCATATCATGCAGCTCCTTCTGGATCTTCTGCTCGACCGGCACGTATCCCTTTCTCGCCGGTGGCTTCTTCGGCTCGTCGTCCGGCTCCAGTTGTATCTCCAACGTTCGGTTGAAGGCCTTGATACTCAGAGGATTGAGCGTGATGGTGGGCGTTATGGGCGGATTCAGGATGTCGTTGGTGCCCGACTTGTTCTTATTGTAGATCTTGCCCCGCGTAGCCAGGAACCTGTGCATCAGGCCCTTCTGGCTTGGTGCGCTGGCGAAACGTAACGGCGTCGGCGTTGTGCGCGTAGATATCACTCCGTTCGTCATCTTTGGCGTCAGGTTCGACGACAGCGAGTTCAAGCTCACCGCTTCCAGAATCTGCGGCGTGGACGTTGTCCTCTTCAGCTTGCCGGAAGCTAAGGCTTGCGGCATGCGTCGCACCTATATAGAATGAGACCACTAATGAGGGATATCACTCCGGAAAAAGGGGGATTATTTTTCTCATTCTTTTTTTGTGATTCTTTTCACTTTACTAACGTGATAATTTACCACCATGGATAAGAATTCTGGCGACAAACACAATGAATTATCACATTAACAAAGTGAAAAAAAGTGCTGAAGTCGGCGTGGGTCCAAAATTAAATGGATCCAAAAAAGTCCAAATGAAAAAATTGACATATTATTAAATTTGTAACTTTTCGCGAAAGTAATAGTCTATTCTATATTTAAACCAAAGATTTAGATCTAAGTAAATACATGTTATTAGTATACCTACCAAATTTATTATACAACATATATTTATTGTGTATGTTTTTTTTTTAATTTTTTAGATATCTTTTTTCTCGGTGTTCGAGACTCGAATGGTATTATTTCTGCCAATCGAGATCCCTTCGGGCAATTTTAGACGTCCTCTGTCTAATTCACAGAGACAAGTATTTTAAACACGACGCAAGTAAGTACGCGTAAGTATGCGTGTCTGTGGGTTTGTGTGTATCTTAATGTTACCTTGGAGTCCACCGTTTCGTGGGACGTGGTCTTAATGCTACCCACGTTCCGCAGTTCGTGTTCCCTCTCGGTGACCTCTTCGATCTCCCTCTGTATTCTGTCCGTCGCCTTCCTCAACTGCTCCACTCTATGTTCCGCCTGCGTGCACACACGCCGAAAAGCTTTTATTATGTAAAAATTGTTATGAATGCGATTCGTGTCCGCCCGAATCTCGGCTTCTCCTCGCGATAAGCGAGACGGGGATCTCTTGTTATTAAATCGGCTGCGATGAATCATGGAATCGAAGGAAAAAGACAGACAATAGAAGGAGGAACTTTAGTTAACATTTTAGTTGACAATTTCAATGAAAAATACAAATCCGGAAATGAATAGTTTCCTTCCTCTCTGTAGCATTCTCTTTTATAAAATCTGCATTCCTTTAAAAGTAGAGATCAGTGCGGAGATGAACTCTATCTCACAGCGTGGCGTGAGACAGTTTTGAAAGACGCAACACAGGTTCTCCACCCGTGTTTTCGGCTCTACGACGCGCAAAAGGAAAAGTTCCGTGATTCTTTCCTCCCAGCTTGTCACTCGCTTATTCCTTGCCCTCTGCTCACGCCCCCGCTTCGCCGTGGAAAAACCTAACTGCAAGACGCATGAATCGAACTGCAGATCTAGTGTCAATAACCGCGCTAACGGGAAACGGATTCCAGAAAACTAGCTGAACGCAACGCCGTAAAATATCTGTTGTTACGTTTCAACGGGGGCCTTTAAATTCGTTGCGGTTACAACAGACGGGCCCTCCCGCAGTAATATCGTTCTCTTCTCTTTCTTATTCTCTTTCTCATCCCGCTTTATCGCGACGCAGAGAGAGCGTGTCAGGTAATTGGCCGCTTCACGGAACCTTCGAATTTCAATACGTACCCAGTAAACGAGAAATCATTAAAACAACGTTATCACGATGATATTTTATGACGTGTAATGTTTTCAAACATGTAGCTCTTCACGCTGTCACGATAAACGTCATTGTTAACATTTGACTCAAATATTAAAGATAACATTTTTACATTATAATTTTAATATTTAGGAATATTGCATTATCGAATCACAGTTTAAAAACACTTGTAAAATACGTCAAAATTCCATCCAGGATATCTCTCGGAGCTCAACGTTAACTGATGAATCGGTCGCGATGAGAGAAAGAGAGAGCGAAGGAAAGAGAGAGATTCGCTGGGGTACACCGGCTGCATTTTTTCGTTCAACGTGTGTCACTGAAACACTTTCGGGGGACTACATCGGCGCGGCGGAAGGACGAAACGGGTTTTCTCGCGGATGCGGCGAATCGCTCGCAAGAATGCAGTAGCAATCAGCGGCGTTAGCTTCATCGACCGTCGTTCCGATGAACCTGCAATCTCTCGCGCGTCTTATCAGTTCATTATCTGCGAAAAAATCTATTGCGTTTCATTGTACGCCTCGCCGTAACAGGTTGTCGCGAAGTCACATAGCGAGCGAATGACACACACACGAAATGACAGATAAAATGACGCATTCTCCGGAAAGGAAAAAAACGAGGTGTCAAAGCGAGACCGAAATCGCGATCGATCTCGACAGGAAACGAAGGCCGATGTCTCGCGTTGATAAAAGCATATTTATCAATCATCTCTTCATCGCGACACCCCGGGTAGAACAGAAAATGACGATGACGTCAAAACAACGAAGAAATGACTGTAATACTTATATCTCGATCATTTATCTCATCATTTCAACGCCTTTTTCACGTCACTTTTTCTGTTCTACTTCTGACGTCCTCCCCATCTCTTTCATTCCCAGATAGACAGAAATACCGAATATAACATGCAAACATTTAATGTATATTTTATAATGACATTGCAACAGCACATATTTAAAATATGCTTGTTTACAAAAATATTTATTTATTACGCCATCATTTTAATCAAAGTACTGACTTCTTATTCCCGACAAGTAAGAAATCATTAACACAACTCCTTATTGCAATGACATCTTGTAACATGTAACTTCTTCAAATATGTTTTTAATGTTGTATATAACATCGTTGTTAGCAATATTTGACCCAAACGTTAAAATATAATATTCCTACACTATGATTTTAATATTTAGAAATGTTATATTATGAAGTAATAGCTTAAAGAAGTCTACATAAAATCAATATTTCAAGATTGATTTAACGTTTCTTGCTTACTGGGTCAACACAATAATTCCGGGTTAATTGCGTTCTCTTTCAGGCAAAATAAGCAGCAATACTTATCAGAATATCGCCGCAATTTTCACGACGTCAGATGACATCTTCTCTTATATATTGTGACAAAACTCTTGTTATACAAGAATACATCTTAACGTATTTATGCTAATCATCATACAATATACCGAAATATGGCTATCTAGGTTTTCTCTTGCTCGTTCGTCCCATTTCGATGTTAATCATTATCTCTTCACCTTCCCGTAGTTTACCGAAATAATAATTTCGGAGACAAAGACGGCATTGTCGCATTTGAGATTTAATCTCCCGGAAGTGCTTCAGTATCGTCCGCGCAATCTGCTTGTTGTGAGTGTATCTGTGTATGTGTGTGTGTATGTGTGTGTCTACTTGCACGTACGAGATATCCCGTAAGCCGCGGTCTCAATAGATTCCGCGGCAGATTCGGAGTCTCGAATTTTCCCCGGCGGGAAAATCGAGGAGATCTCCGCGTTTACACCGAAAAACCCGCCGTCCCTACCGAGCGTCAAGCCAACTTCGACGGATCTTCTTGTCGGCTCCTCCCTTGCGAAGGATTTGCGAGTCGAGTTTCGTAAGGTAATCGTATGTCGCCGGTAAAAATGTGAAAAAAAAAAAGAAAAAAAGTGCAAAACAATCCCTTTTTTCAGACCTTTATCTCACGATGCGGCCGTAGACGCTTCCGCGTAGGAACTCGACGATAACACCGAAACGAGTTTCTCCGTGGAATTCCAGAGCGAGCAGCTGCAGCGCGGCCAGGGATGCCGTCCTCAGTAAACTGAGGGCCGCTGGAAGCCGCCGCGGCTGTAATCACCGTTTCCTTTCTAATAAAATGGGGCACACAACTCTTCCCACCTCTTTGAAATCCCCTCTCCCTCTCAAAAGTGTACCATCTTCGCTTCCGTCGAGAGCACTCGAGCGGCCGACTTGGGTTCCGGCGAGTTCTTCGAGGATTCCCCGATTTTCGAAACGCCTCGAGCCGAATTCCACCGACGCGCGTTTTCCCTCCGCCAGCTGGTCGTGCCGCCCCCCCCCCCCCC